TTGTTTAGTGTACTTTATTCAATTATTTGAAGACTTTTCGTTCCTCAGTCAAGTAGTAGTACAAAACTGGCCTTCCTTTTCATTTTAGTTTGATATTTCAACATTGCAGTCCTGACCTGGCTTACTTGATCCAGATCCTTACAATTAATTATTCTTCTGTGCTTTTGTTCCTTCCACAGAATACCAAACAGTTGTTATGATTATTGGCAGAATGGAATGCAATCTCATTGTCCAGCTGTGTGGTCTAAGCATAGAAGGTGGTTGTTGTTGTCAATGATCTGTTTCAATCCTTTAGCATGTGTAATTTAGAAACAATGATCATACACATTAGATTTATTTAATTGCACTGGTGTGATGTGGTTGGTTCTGTACTTCTCTTCCATCAAATCATGTACCATTTTTTACTTTCACTCGCCTATGGATATAAGTAAGTATCAAGATGTGACCTTGAAATCATTGTAGCCAATAGATGTATGATGATATTGAGATTTTACTGATCAATTTAGGAATGTGATGTGTAGTTACTCAGTTAGAGCTCTTCATGACTAGGAACTCTTGGGATGGTTTGTCATTTGACACAACATTATGAACAACAAGACTGCAACCATTTACTTGTTTTACTTTAATCATTTTAGAATAAGCAGTGATTTTGGTGCCGCATTATTATTTGATGAACCGCAGCATCATTTGTGTGGTTATTTGAACATTCTTGCATGCAATGTTGGGGAAAAGAGCTCTCACCATTTTCACAGACCACGATCAGTCAATGGCTAAGCAATGGCTAAGGCAATTTCTGAAGTCATGCCAAAGGTTGAACATTCTTTACATTTTTTTTTTTTTTGTAATTTAATTCTGGATATATATAACAACATGCTGTAAAAATCAATAATTTCACACATTAACAAAGTATGATGACAATAATGTACACTTATCATATTTGTTTATGGGCAAATTTAGTAATAGTCCCTATAGTTTCCTTTAAGTTTCATTTTGGTCTTTCTCCTTTGAATTGCAACACATTTACCTTTCCATTTGCTTTTTTGTTTCAAACAAACATAATAGATGATGAGGTAACTTTTTGGACGAAAATTGCTATTGGACAATGTATGTAATCAATTTTCAGGGATAAATGGTCTTTTTTCTTTCTCTCCCCTCTTTCATTCCTCTTCGTGTTATCTCCAAATCACAAACCAACATTTCCATAACTACACCCACCACTAAATCTCTCCCCCCTCCACCTCCTCTTACGATGACCAATCATCACCTCCACACCAGTCATTCCCCTGATACACCACCCAAATAGCCACCTCCTTCATCACAAAACCACCACCGACCCACCGCCCTTCATTACAAACCCACTTCCTCACTACTATAAAATCCATGCCCAACCACCTCCTTATTCCATGTAAATGTTGAGCACTTGCACATCCCTTTTCAACCCTCAATTCATTTTGCATAAACCAATACAATAGATATTTCAAAATCATTCTCGGCAATTCTAAATCATTATTTGATTTAATATGTATACTCAATCAAAATTATCAGACTTGTATGCAAATGTTGAGGGATTGCTAGTTATTTGTTTTATGCCATTATAGGAGAGAAAGAAAGAGAGTTTTATGTATGTGTGCTTGTGTAGCATTTCAGAATTGGTTAAAAAAAAAAAAAAAGCACAAATATATCTTGGACTAAAATTCTATAGTGAAATTTTAATGCATGCAAAATCCTCCACCACTTCATTTAAATAATGATAAACAATAAACAATGGCTATGCACATAATTAAAAAATAATAATAATACTTGAAGGAATTTCTTAATCACAATTCTCTTAAAAAAAAGACAAAGTTACATTAAAATTAAATCTATTCAATAGACAACATAATAGAGATTACAACAAGAATATAAGCATAAAAACAAAAATTGGGAATGTGTGATTCATTAGTGTTGTTTCCATCCCACAAAGCATGGGACAAAGTGGTGTAAGCTCAATGGAGAATAAAAAAAAAAAAAAAAAAACACGAGAAATGCACAACAATCAGCAAATTACTATGAAGAATAAATAGGTATATATCTAGAGAATTCAAGAACCTCAAAGGAACCTAGAAACTTTTCATTTTTGACTTAGCCTATTTCATTGTTCACATGTGCACAAAAGAAGTAACTAAATCATGTCTTGGCAAGAAAGAAAAAGGAAAAAAAAACAAAACAAAACAAAATCACATATCCAGATTTGATCAATTCCCCATATTGTTGCCTTGTAGTCTTTCCTTACACATAGGCACGTAATTTCTTTAAAAAACGAAGACGGATGGCAAAATCAAAGTCATCTCTGAAAGCTATCAATCCAATAACTTTTCCATTCGAGTCAAAAACAGGAGCCCCATTGAGCCATAAGCAGCACGTATGTTGTTAATCTGAATTACTGTCAATTCTATACTGTAGCACATTAAAGTGTTGAAATAATAATAGTCAAGATTAATAAGAATAGCAAAGGTCTCCCTCCTAGGTTTAGCAACTTGTCCCAATACAAAAGTATAATCGAGTTGGTTAGAGTGAGTTATAGAAAATACTTCCGTCCCAATGTCTATACAATTTTTACTACTAAATTTCAGAATTCATTAGAATGAAGAAATCTCGTATCCATATCCTTGGTTTTCAAGATAAGTAGGTTATACTGGGGCTCTCTAAAAAATACCTCAACTTCTTGAAAAGCTTAACCTTCCCTACGACGTACCTAGGGATGGCCACATGGCGGGTTTGGGGTAGGTTTGCCATTCCTTGCCCCTGCCCCTGCCCTCGCCCCTGCCTAGCCCCGCCCCGCTTCACTCCCGCTACGGGTGGAATTTTTCAACCTCACCCTCGCCCCCACGGATATTCGACCACATTTCAAATAGTCAAAAAAATTAAGAACCATTTAAATTCTTAGCACACTAAATAATTTTTTTTATTTTCATATATATAAATAGTGAGACTTTTAAGAATATTATTTATTTACATTTAAACAAAAACATAGACTTTTAATATTATTTTCTTATATCTAATTATATTATATATATACATATTATTTATTTATATATTATTAATTATATCAGGTCAGGTTTGGATCGGGAAAAGCAATACCCGCCTCCGTTGCGGGTGACCAAAACATAATCCATCCTCGCCCCACATAAGTGTCGGGGCGGGTAAAATTTTCCCCTTTTGGGCGGGTATGGGTGGGCCCTCGCGGATTGGATTAAAATGGCCACCCCTATACGTACTATTACAACATTACCCTCAGGTACCAAATGTGTGTTGAAAGTGGGAGAGGGATGTATACCGATTGTGTAAATATACAAAGAGAGGAAAATAAATTGAACAAACACTTTTTTTATTCAATCACAAACAAATTATACAAAAAAGAGCTATCTCTCTGTTAACTCTCAAACCTCTCAACTCTCTTAGAAATCTCCCACTCCTAGAGATGTTGTTTTTCTCCCACTCTATCTAAAACAATCACATAACCTATCTATTTATAGATTTCACAAACATGTGTAAACCGTGCGTGCTAAAATGTGTCTTCCTCATTAAGCTTTATCAATGGAGCTTCCTTGAAGCTTCCTCCTTCTCCATTCTTCTAGTAGCTTCTCTGCTTTTCTTCTTCATTTTAGCTTCCTCATTTTCATTCTAGAACACTCCAGCAACTTCATCTTCTAGTTTCTTCATTTCCAAACTCAAATTGAGTTTGTATTTCTAACAATGTACGCATGTCAAAATATATCCATATCTGTTTATCATTACATCAGTACCGTACTCACTACCATCCTCATCCTCCGATGATCTTGGAATAATCGGCTATGATAATACAACAACCACCTTTTTTATCCGGTTGTACAAAATTTCTCGACGTTGTTGGATTGGCATTAGCATTGGCATTGTTGTCCTCTGCTTCGGCCTTTAACTCCGCATGCATTTACTTTTCATGGCAAGAATGAAACTTCTTTTCATGGCAGCGTTGTATGAGACCTCTCCCTCGTCTTCTTCGTCTAAAAATGAGTCTTTAATGCATAACAATATTCCAATACATAAGACAACCAGATTCAATCAAAACACTAAACCTAATGAAGCTAATTACAAATCTGAAGAACGAACGAACCAACCAACCAACCAAGATTTCAAAATGAGGATGAGGTGTGATATAACTCAACTCACCATTTTTTGTGTTTGTTTCGCGAAAGAGCTCTCACCGGTATTGCCTTTGTTTAAATTATTTGAATCCGAATCATTTCATTTATTTTTAAGGTTTTATTGCGTATACAATTCATAAATAAATAAATGAGTCTATTTAATAATTATACTATTTTTTTTTATTGTGTTTGTCTCTAACAAGTATGTTTTTTTAAATAAATTATTTATTATTTTAAAAACAAATGTGATAAAATAAAAATATTACAGTATAAATATTCCGTAATGTCAACATTCACACGTCAATGTAAACATTTACACTATAAAATATGAATGTTTACATCACCAAGTTGCTAAGCGTTCAAAAAATATTCTTAAGGATAAAACATCTAAAATATGATAATTATGATTTAGTGGATCAAATGTCCAAATAATAAAAAAGTAATCCCTTCCATACTCCATTTTTTTTAGACTCATTTTAGGCTCACAATAATAATCTAAATTGCTCATCTCATAATTCCAACGATTTACATGAGTTATGCAAGAAACTAATTTCATTGGATATTACTCAGATGTATGAATAAATTGTATCTTAATTTTTTGTGCTCCACGGGGAACAAAAAAATGTTAATACCTAGTGGACATTCTCGGAAACAAGAAACGAAGGGGGGCCTGCAAGAGATTTTGGTTTATAAAGCAATCAAACATTGCATGTGTGATCGTCAAATATTCTTAACTGTCACATTCAAATTCAAGATTTTCTAGCTAGAGCTCTCCACTGATTGTGAAATGCACCAAAATAGATACGTGGTGATCAAATTAATTGACTAATTTAGCCATACACTAAAAAAAAGGTGTGTTCATTCTATCTGGAATTGCAAATCCAACCAAGTGTATCAGAATGATCTGTCTGTTAATTGCGACATTCATGCAATTTCTATTGTTTACAACCATATATCATACACTACATATAAAACATTGAGATTCTGAGAAACTTATTTCTATTTTTAATTATTTTCTCAATTATTAAAAAAAAATAAAAAATAAAAAACCTTTCCCCCGTTGCAATTCTAGTGTCACCCACCATCTGAATCCCCAATAGAAAGGCTGCCTGCCACAGCTATGACAAAGCTCAGTCAATGCCCGAGCAGGCTATGCTTCAAAGACGAGCAGTTTCACCCCCTCGAGTCAATTGATTTCATAGAAAGCCCCGGGATGAAACTTCTTGCAAATTGCTTCTGTGGCTGCTTGTACTCTTGCTTGATCCTGCAGCCAATCATGGGAAGGTCTTTATCATTCAAAATAACTTATTGTTTTCAAACAATAACTGCTTTTGCAGACAATTTTTCTGAACAATTAATAAACTAAACTTGATAACTGCATTCTATACTCTCACCACTCTCATAACAACTTGAGACTAAATCCAATCAACTCCCATGGCTCAATTTTCAAAATGTTGATTACAAAAATCATCATTCCTTCAGACTCACATCAACATTTAGATGGAGATTATTACTCTGAGCTGCAACTTGCAACTGTGAAAGAAAAATAAAATAAAACACACGCACACACACCGAACTTTGAATATGTGATGATGCAGAAGATGCAAATCAAAGGTAACAAAATAATATGAACATGACAACCCTCAAGCTCTACACTATTTTCAAAGCACATTGTCATGAGTTAAGAAGAATAGTAATATGAAACAGCTTTGGAGAAGAACATCAGCCACAAATAACTCAAAAACAAAATACAGAAACTTAATAGCTGAAATCATGACAAATAAAAAAAAATCATACTTTTATCATAGAGAAACTAAACAAACAAAAAATCACTCTTTTTTTTACAATGAACGGCAATAGTAGATTTTCAGAATAAACTAAACAATTTATATCATAACAGTTCTAATAAACAGAATTTGCAGCATTAATTTATGCTATAGTGTCAATTTTTTGCTGCAAGAGGCCACCTTTCCTGACCAAGGCATTTAACTTACAAAGTACAGATTCGGTACACCAGGTTCTAGGCCACTGCAACAACACGTGGGAGGTTCACCTATTAACCTTGAAATTTGATAATCATGAATGAAAAGTGTCTCTTCTTCCAATTCTATGTGCTTTGAAATGAGCATAATGCATCAAATAGTTATTTGTGCCTAAAGGAACTTCCAGCTCAATTTGCACCAATTCAAACAAACCACCCAACAAGCATACCATGCAAAGAAACTAAAGTTTCTTTGTTCAAAACACCACCCTTGAAGTTTTGTATAATGCTTCTTGAGGACTTCTATCCTCCCAATGCAAATTATTTATAAAGTAGTTTCAGCAATATGAGAACTTTGTTCATGGTAATCCAGTGTCAACACTCATTAACAATACAAATATCATATCAATTAGACTGCACATTACATAAAAATGCAAACATACAGAGATAGATTTAGAAACATAACCATAACACATTAATGAAATAGCAAATTCAATCTTGGTGAAGATCTTGCAATCCAATCATGGAACATAAACACAAGATTGACATATTTTTAATAGCATATTTGGGTGTTAAACGACCAAACTAATAAGAACTCTATATATCCAAAATATTTGTAAAGAACAGACAAAATAGCTTAGCACAAAATTCCGAATGGTGAAAATTGCAACTCAAACTTAGGTATGTTTCTCCTCATTCCTCCTTCAAACGCAACTAAAGGAAGAAATGCCAATGCAGGTGCTTTTATGTCCACAAGGGGGTTTTGAAAATGAATAGCCATATGAGTATTAATAGGTCTTGGACTAATGCAGTGAATGGAAAAGTTAGATTGGGACGAGCATGAAAAAATTGCTAAAAAAAATAGAGTACCAAGTAAATTTGATGACTCATGCTTGCAAGCCAATTCCTAGACAAAGCAAAGCAAGCATGAAAATAGATAATATGGCGTAACATCTCTAGATTTTAGGAAATACACAAGCTTAAGAACATATGAACAGAGAGAGAGGGAGAGAGAGAGAGAGAGAGCTGACCAAGGGCTTCGACAACAACCTAGGGTTCCGATAGCAAAGACCAAGGGATTCTGTGGCAATAATGGATGCGTAAAAAATCTCCAGCTAGCAATCCATCCACACTCTCAGTTGATCAAGGGGTATGGCCTTGGCTTGAAGAAAGTAACCCATATATACAAAAGTATTAGAGAGGTATAAAATAAATAAATAAAAACTTCATATTAAGAAAATGAGTAACGCGTACCAATATGAGAAACGAGCATTTTATTAAGAAAAAACAGATATCATGAGTAAAAAACAGGCCACAACCTATAAGAGTGGAGCAGTTTCATTTTTTTTTAGAGACAATTTGCATGTGGGTAGTTGCTTAAAAGGGCATTGCATGTTAGTGGTTCCCCAACCTAAAAGTGCTTGGTTATGTAATTTTAACAACAATAACATTAACCATTTCATTAGACCAAATGAAATTTAAAAAAAAAAAAAAAAGTAGTTACATGTCAGTGGTTCCTTGAGCTAAAGATGAGATCAAAGGGCTATAATATATATGTATATATATATATATATATATATATTTATTTAAAGTGAGAAAGGCAATTGTTTCTCTAAAATGTCATGATCAATTCAAAAGAGACAACACCCAATTCACAATAAACACACATACTGATAAAAGGTTACAAAAAACAAAGAACAAAAAAAAATCCAACACATAACTTTAGGATGGCAGGACTTGAAACATTGATCCTCCCTTCTCGAATTAGCAAGAAATACAACTCAAGCTAAAATATGGTATGGCAGGATTGTAGGCCCTGGGAGTTATTACTTGATCAAGGGTTAAACACAACTTCAAAATAAGGGAACACCAAAATAGTGTTCTTGATCACTAGAACCCATGGCCACACAAAAATGGAGCACTGGAACCCATGCCAATACCAAAACGGTGTTCATCAAAGTGTAAATAGCAAACACAAGGAACCTGTTCAAACTTATCCAATCAATCACAATTTACACGCAGCAAGATTAAATTTAATGACATGCAATGCATATGCTTAAACTAATACACATTTATACAGCAAAAGAAGGCATATGCACACATATTTTTGCATATAAGTTTTGGCAGATTCCATTGAAGTATTACATGACACACCCACGCATCAAGGCGTTTCACATTTACAGGAAAACAGTGTGCCACACTTGGAAACAAAGTGATATTGATGCCAAGGTGTTTCGCATTTCAAAATAGTGTATAATTTTTCCAGTGGGTACAAACTAGATCAAAGAACACATTTCATTCAAATGGCTAAAACGACACACACCCATGACCGCACTTCAAACCACATCATGACCACACCTTAAATCACATCATTAAGAAGGGAAGTTTTCGTAAGTCTCTACATACATAGGATTTAATTATAAAAAGTTATATAAGAACATACATGTTACTATATGATGAGTCCACCTTAGATGAAAACTATGAAGTATGGACACTTCAAAATCGGTGCCATGGTGGTGTCCGACACGTGGACAGGCCGGGGACATGGGGACATACCGGGGACACGTATGGGACACGCCAGATGACGTGTCCCTTTAATTTAATGATTTTTTTTGTAGGAGACACGGTGGGGACACGACACGGACACACGTGTCCATATCGGAACAAGAATCGAACTCAGAATAGAGAGAGAGAGAGAGGCTCGTCAGCATACCTGGAAGCTCTTCGCTGGTGAGTCGTCGGTGGTCGGTGGTTGGTCTCCGATCGTCTTCTTCGTCTTCGTCGCTCTTAGTCTCTCTATCTCTCTCAGAGTCTCTCTCTCTCTCCCCTCTCTCCGATCGTCTCTGTCTCTCTTCTCTCTTGTCAATCTCTCTTCTTTCTCGTCTATCTCTCATCTCTCAGTCGATCACCATCTCTCTCGTCTCTCTCTCTGTCTCGTTGATCTCTGCTCTCCTCTCTTTTCACCTCTCATCTCTTTGTCTTCTCTGTCTTCTATCTCGTTTCTCTCTCCTCTGTGATCAGATATTTTTATTTTTATTTATATTTATATATAAATATATATATTATATTTTGGTTTATATATATTATATTCTTTCTTTATTTTTTATTTCAATATCAGTTTGCATCGCCATTTTTTGCTCCACCGACCGCATCGGAAAGTTCAATGGAGCAAAACCAGAGGTGTTTGGTTGCGGTTCACTGGCCACCGCACCAGTTATTTCTCTTGTGGGCTCGTTCAGTTCTGGAAAGAGCGTGAGCAGGTTCTGGGTAGCTGGACGGGAAGAAGAGGCCATGTTTTTGGGTTGCTAAGTGTTTCAGAGCAGGGTTTACAGAGTGTTTCAGACTGCCAAACTTCAGAGGTTTCAAACTGGTTTTTTGCCTCAGCCTCAGCCTCCGTCTTATAGCCGAGGCAGCCACGCGCATCGCGCGCCTCTTACCACCAGACGACAAAACGGGCGCGCAAGCCAAGGCGCCCACGTGCCTCGCCATCATGTCCGGCACGCCTTTTGATGAATTGGGCACGCCTTTTGATGGCACGCCTTTTGACAAAATTGGGCACACCTTTTGAGGGTGCAATTTTCTACAAGGGTCCGACAAGACTCTGTAAACTGTCACAACATTGTCTTCTACAACGGTCCGACATGACCCCATAAACTGTCTTCTACAACGGTCTGACACCACCATACAATGTCTCCGATCCTTTTTTATTTTTATGTATTTTCTTGTTTTGTTACTCTCTCCAAACTCAAGTTGGTTAGTTTCTCTCCTCCTTGAGTTTGCGGGGGGCTGTTAGAATTTCCCATCTTCACCTACTCCACTACACACTCCACTTCACCTACCTCCACTTCACCACACACTCCACTTCACCTAACCCACTATCACCTCCACTACACCTACTACCACATTTTCTTCTATATATAGATTGTATAGGAATTGTAATACAACAATCAAACAGAATATCAATCAATAAATCAATCAATAATACATAGTTTTTCTTACATAATGTTTACAATATATAGAACATATGTTTATAATATATAAATGTAATGATCTTTATATACACATTAAATTAATATTAGTTTTTATTAATTTGGTTGTTTGGTAATATAAAATTAATATACATAGCAAATACGTAAAATATATACTTAAAAAAATAATAATAACGTGTCGTGTCCCCATTTTCTTAAAATCACCGTGTCCCGTGTCCATGCCCGTGCTTCATAGGGTGTAAATAATTAGGTCATCAAATGAATGAGGATATTGCTGGTATATTTTATCTATTGTCTTGACGTATACATTCCTAATTTTTTTTATTTTTTATTTTTTGTAATTTAATTCTGGTTTATATATATATTAGTTTTGGGTATGTTTACTTAAATTTTATTGAACATATTGAAACTCACAACATGCTGTAAAACCCAATAATTTCACACATCAACAAAGTATAATTGATAATAATGGTACACTTGTCCCATTTGATTTTCAATGATAGTCCCTATAGTTTCCTTGAAGTTTCATTTTGGTCCTTCTACTTTGAATTGCAACACATTTACCCTTCCATTTTGCTTTTTGTTTCAAACAAGGATAATAGATGACAAATGTTAACTTTTTGGACAGAAATTGCTATTGTGCAATGTATGTAATCAATTTTCAGGGATAAAATGGTCTTTTATCTCTCTCTCCCTTCTTTCATCTTCCTCTTCGTGTTATCTCCAAACCACAAACTAACATTTCCATAACCACACCCACCACTAAATCTCCGCCCTCCACCTCCTCTCACCGTGACCAATCATCACCTTCACACCCCCCATTCCCCTGCTACACCACCAAACAGTCACCTCCCTTCATCACAAAACCACCACCGAACCCACCTCCCTCCATTACAATCCCACTTCCTCACCACTGTAAACCCATGCCAACCCACCTCCTTATTCTATGCAAATGTTGAGCACGTGCACATCCCTTTTCAACCCTTAATTCATTTTGCACAAACCAAATACAATATATATTTCAAAATCCTTCTCCAACAATTCTAAATCATTATCTGATTTAATATATATACTCAATCAAAATTATCAGACTTTGTATGCAAATGCTGAGGGATTTCTAGTTATTTCTTTTGTGCCATTATAGGGAGAGAAAGAAAGAGTTTTATATATGCGTGCTTGTGTACTATGTCCAAAATTGGCTAAAGAAAAGCACAAATACATCTTGGACTAAAATTCTATAGTGAAATTAAATGCAAAATCCTCCACCACTTCATTTAAATAATGAAAAACAATAGCTACTCACATAAATAAAAAATAATAATAATACTTGAAAGAATTTCTTAATCACAATTCCCATAAAAAACCAAACAAATTTACATTAAAATTAAATCTATTACATAGACAACATAACAAAAATTACAGCAAGAATATAAGCATAAAAACAAAAATTGGGAATGTGTGATTCATTATTGTTGTTTCTGTCCCACAAAGCATGGGACAAAGTGGTGCAAGCTCAATGTATTAAAAAAAAAGAACACAAGAAATGCACAACAATCAGCAAATTACTGTGAAGAATAAAGAGGTAGATATCCAGAGAACTTCAAGAACCTCAAAAGAATCTAGAAACTTTTTATTTTTGACTTTGCCTATTTCATTGTTCACATCTGCACAAAAGAAGTAACTAAATCATGTCATAGCAAGAAAGAAGGAAAATAAATAAATAAAAAAAATCACATTTCCAGATTTGATCAATTCCCCATCCTGTTGTCTTTCCTTACAAGTAGGAACGTAATTTCTTTAGAAAACGAGGACGGATGGCAAAATCATAGTCATCTCTGAAAGCTATCAACCCAATAACTTTTTCATTCGAGTCAAAAATAGGAGCCCCATTGGGCCATAAGCTGCATGTATGTTATTAATTTGAATTACTGTCAAATATATACTGCAACACATTAAAGTGTAGAAATAATGATGGTCAAAGATCAATAAGAAGAGCAAATGCCTCCCTCTTAGGTTTAGCAACTTGCCCCATTACAAAAGTATAATCGAGTTGGTTAGAGTGAGTTATAGAAAATACTTCCATCCCAATGTCTATACAATTTTTACTACCGAATTTTCAAAATTCATAAGAATGAAGAAGTCTTGTATCAATATCCTTGGTTTTCAAAATAGC